AACCGAAGGACTAGAAAAAGATATTCGATGGTTATGGAAATGAAAATAAGTCTGGAGTATGATACTGGTACCAGACAAAAAAGACTTGAAAATGAAAGATGTAAGAAAGACAAAGAAGGATATTCTATAGTGCTAAGAGGACTTGTTCACCGAGAAGATATAACACTTGTAAATATCTATGCACCCAACACTGGAGCACCTAAATACATCAATGACAAACTGTTGAATCTCAAGGGAGAGAGAGACTGCAACACAATAATTGTAGGGGATCTCAACATCCCCACTGACTGCTCTAGATATATCATCTAGACAAAAATAAAGAGATACAAGATCTAAATGCTACCATACATGAAATGGACTTGATAGACATCTATAGAGTATTTCACCCAACTATCACAAAGATAGACATTTTCTCATCCCTATACGGAATATTTTCAAAAATTAAACACATGATAGGGCACAAAACAAGCCTTTATAAATTCAAAGGCATGGAAACTGTTATCTATCATCTTTTCTGACCATGATGGAATCAAACTTGAAATCAACTAGAGAAAGAGTCCTTGAAAATTCACAAACACATGGAAACTAAACAGCCTACTCCTAAATTACTCCATGACTATAAAAGAAATTAAGACTGAAATCAAAAGATTCATAGAAACCAATGATAAAGAACAAATAAGTGTTTATAACCTATAGGACACAGCAAAAAGCAGTTATAAGAGGAAAGTTCATAGCAATTAGTGCCCACAAGAAACAAACATAAAGATGGCAAATAAACAACCTAACAATACAACTCAGGGAACTGGAAAGATGACGACAACAACAACAACAAATTCCAGGAAAAAAAGAAAAAGATTTAAGCAGAAATAAGTGAAATAGAAAATTAAAAAAAAAAAAAAACTTTAAAAAAAAATGAAATCAAAAGCTGGTTCTTTGAAAAGATAAACAAAATTGACACACCATTAGCTAGATTAATCAAGAAGACCAGAGAAAGGAATCAGATAAATCAGGAGGGAAACAGGCATTATTACAACATATATAACAGAAAATATAATACAAAATATAATCAGAGCACTATGAGAGACCATATTCCAACAAACAAGAAAACCTGCGTGGGATGGACAGATTTCTACTCACGTATGACTTACCAAGGTTGAACCAGGAAGAAATAGAAAGTCTGAACATTCCCATAATAAGCAATGAGATTGAATCAGTAATAGTCTCCCAACAAGGAAGAGCCCAGGTCCCGATGGTTTTACTTCTCAGTTCTACAAAGCATTTAAAGAAGAACTAACCCCAATTCTCTTTAAACTATTTCTAAAAATACAAAAGGAAGAAACCCTCCTGAATTCATTCTATGAACCCTCCATCATCTTAGTTCCAAAACCAGATGAGGACATGACCAAAAAACAAACAAACAAACAAACAAAAAAACCCTTCACATCCCTATCCCTGATGAGTGTAAAAATTCTCAACAAGATACTATCAAATTGTATTCAACAACATATTAAAAAGATTATACACCATGACCGAGTAGGATTTATACCAGGAATGCAAGGGTGGTTCAACATATGCAAAACAATAAAAGTAATACATCACATTAACAAAAGGAAAGATAAAACCGTATGATCATATCAATTAATGCAGAAAAAAGCATTCAATAAAATACAACACCCTTTCAAGATTAAGACTCTCAGCAAAATCGGCATAGAAGGGACATTCCTCAACACAATAAAAGCCATCTATGAAAAGCCAAGAGCTAACATCGTACTCACTGGGGAAAAGCAGAAAGCCTTTCTACTGAAAGCTGGAACAAGACAAGGCTGCCCACTTTCTCCACTCCTTTTTAACATGTTACTGAAAATTCTAGCCAATGCAGTTAGACAAAAGAGTTAAATAAAAGACATTCAGCTAGGAAAAGAAGGAGTGAAATTATCTGTATTTGCAGATTATATGATGCTATACATAGAAAACCCAAAATCTTAAAAACAAACAAAAAAAAGAAAAACAAAAAAAACCCTCCTGGAAGTGATAAATGAATATAGTAAAGTGAAAAAAAAATCTGTGCGTGGATTTCAAAAATTTTAGCACCAAAATAAATTCATTCTTCAATTTTATTTTTCCCCAAACTTTTTGAAGTCCCTTCATATTTTTATATGGGGTAACCACAGGGTGTTCAAAGATGCTAGATAGACATTATTATGCTTTTTTTCCATTATCCACACAAATTCTAATTTTTTCTCCCTTTTTCTGGACATCATCTTGTGTGTTAATAGTGGAAGTATTAGAGGAATTCCTGAGAAGTATTTTTGAGACTTAAACTGTTATTAAGTAGAATTGAGAAATTCTCTTTCACAATGCCCCAAGCAAATTGGCACTTTAAGTCTGAACTCCAAGATAATATCCACATATTATAACTCCACATAATATCAAAATCACATTGACTCTATCCACAACTGAATTTGTCATTCAGATGTTCTCTAACCGAGAGGGTAGAATGTGCTAGTGTACCAGTTCTTGTTGAGGGATTCAGTATATCTAGCAGGCTGTATTAGGTTCCCCCGAGAAACTGCACAAGTAGATTTTATCTATCTATCTATCTGGATAGAAATATAGTAAAAAGTATTTAATTACTTAATTATGGAGGCTACATCGTCCCCACAATCTGTTGTTGATAAGCTAGAGACCCAAGAAAGCTGGTGGTGTAATTCCAATCAACATCCAAAGGCCCAAAAACCAGAAGTACCAATTGTGTAACCTGAAGCAAGTAATTTAATTTCTCTGTGCTGAGCATCCTTATCTTGAAAATGGAAATAACAATGGTGCTTATGTCATAAGATGACTGAGAGCCGAGAAGGGCCTGACACATAGTAAGTACTAAGTAAAAGATAGCATCTATTATTTTCATATCAAATTCTTACTCGAATGAAAGTTAGTTATTTAAAGTCCACTAGAAATATCATTAGCTATAATAAGTTTGTGACTTGGACTTGTCCTAGCTCTCAGTCCAGCTATGAGCATGAAGGAGCACTGAGGCTGCCCTCAGTTTCATCTTTTACAACCCTCCCTTGGCTTCAGGAGCCCTGTCCTGGAATCCTTTCCATTTCTCGAGACAAATAGACAAGTAATTCCTGCTTTCTGAGTGTCCATCTAGCAGCGTTTATTGATATTCACAAGATCTTTTGGGCCTATCATGGCCCATGTCCTACTTTAATCTTAGCTTTAAAAAGCACACAGTCAAAATTCTATAAGCTGATGTTACACCAGCATCAAACAAACCCACACTTCCCATTCATTCACCAACTCTGTAAGTGAACTAACCAAATATGACTAGTTGAAAGTTATACAGATATTATGCTCCAAGCTAGGATAGGGACTGGGGTTTACAGAATAGCTGACCTTCTTACTAGAGATGGTGTCACCCAGGTGGTGTGACCCCCAAGCCAAATGCTTCTCTAAAAAATCATGCTTCAATATCTCCTTCCATTACTTTCAAGATGAATTTTTTTATTATGTTTATAGAGGGTGTATGCACTTCCTGAAGAGAGGCAGAGACAGAAAGTGAGAGGGAAAGTGAGAAATCACTCCCTCAGGTGGATGGCTATGACACAATCCTTTCTCCTTCATTTTCCTCCTGAGAGTTTGGGCAGGCATGCACATGTGTCCAATGTGATTTTTCAGGCTGTCAGGTCCACTCAAATCATGGTCAACCATGTGGGAGTCCAGCACCTTAACCATCACACCACCTGCTGGCCCCAAAAATTCTTTGCAGAAACATTATAGAGGAAAATTATTTTGAAAAGCATGATAAGTCCAATGAAAATAATTCTTTAGAAAACAAGGGAATCTACTTTAAGAAAACTATCTATACCAAAAGTCAAGCACATAAAAGAGGTAAATTTGGGAGATGTTTACTCCCCTAACAAAGGAGTTTTAGTTTTATGTTCAAAGTAAATTTTATCCTAGAATTTTTTTTTTAAAGAGAGATTTTTGCTATCAGGTGTGTGCACTCGCCAGAGAGAGACAGAGAGGCAGAACGTGAGAAATCACACCCTCCCCCCGACCCCGGGGCAGGGATGACTGCAATCCCTTTGCCTCCATTTTCCCTTCGGGATTTTGTAAGCCCATGTGCCCAGTGTGAGTTTTAAGCTGCTGGGTCTGGAACTTGAACCACCGTCAACTGTGTGGGAGTCCAGCAAAGAACCACTATGCCATCTGCTGGTGCTATCCTAGAATTTGTTAAAGTATAAGCCACTGACACACATTTAAAATGTGATCTGATGCATGTGAAAATTTTCACTTTACACTCTGCCATTATTCTAAGCAGATGTTGTCTCTCTGAGCATTGTATTCTGGTTTGCAAAATAAGGTATTTAGAATGAATCAGTTTAGTTTCATCTGGGAGCAAATTCCTGTGTTTGTGGAGGTGAAGAATATGTGGATATATTTAATTTTTCTTCTCTATATGCATATTTTCTTGATTCTTTCTCTCAATCATAGAGCAGGTTCTGAACTTCTGCTCCCCAATTAAACATTGTGGCAGTAGTTAGCTTATCTTTTCAAAGGCAGAAGCAAAGAGGTGAGGAGTTGAATGTGGGCTTGGAAAAGACTGAGGAGAGAATCCCAGGGGTCAGGAAGGACAGTTTCCTGGGATGCTCTGAAGAAATGGCAGAATCTCAAAAATGTCTCAGTGCAGCACCTTAGGCAGCCCCTCAAAGGAGTCTTGTTCCCCAAAGTTTACACTGAAGCAGCCACACACTTTGGAACTAGTCTCTGTAGATGGTAACAGTGGCAGTTTTGTGACTGTGTGACCTTTGATGAAGCTACTTTTTATACCTATGAGCCTCCATTTTTAAAGGTGGGATACAGATGGAGATGAGGCATATCCAGAGCTATTGCAATGGGCTGGGCAGATTGCCTTGTTTGAAAATGCCCAGCTAAGGGAGCAAGAGAGCCCACATCCTGCTCATCCCTGTGCACTGCAACATGGTGGTGTCTACCTTTTCTTCACCCACATAGAGGAGTAGTGTGGGTACTCCTCACTGTAGCTCTTGTAGTCCAGCGCTGATAGTCTCTGATAATAATTTGCTAAGGCTTTTTCTCCAAATGACTTTGCTTCTGGCAGTCTCTCTGAAAAATGAAAGAAAAAGAAAAAAAAAACCCTTTAATTAATGTATTCCTTTTTCTCTCAAAAATACACACATACACACAAACACAAAATAAGATATTTTTCACCCTAATTATAATAGTATGGCAAATGAATAGGGAGTTTTGTCAAACAAATAGTAAAAATAATGGAAATGAAAAATAATTCATCTCTGGGTCTCTGGCGAGCAGGATGTTAGGGAAGCAATACTGTAGGGGGATTTCAAGTCTAGGAGAATGCCCTCCTAGCTCTGCCTCAGGAAACCACTTTGAGGGTCCCTAGCTGTGGGATCGGGGTGATGCTGTTGCTTCCTTCTAGAGGCCTGCTCCCTCATGTGGGGAACCAATTCTGACACTGTAGCAACTTGGCCCGGCTAGGTTTCTCAGAAGTCCGGCATTCACCCATGACCAAATGGTTGCAGAGCTGTCTGAGAGGAAGCCAGGCAGCCAGCACATCCTGGGGAAATCATTGTCTTGTCCCCTGCTTGGCCTTGGAAGGAGGTCACCCAGTTTCAATGATGTCTTTGTTATCAGATCCAGTAGGAGCTCTGATGTGCTGTTTTAATGAAAATAGGACACCTATGGGGCAGACATGGGCTCTCCCAGAATCAACAGTGAGGAGACAGCAGCCTGCCCAGGCTCTGGGACCCCAAGCCCTGGGGATCCCCTTACAAAAAGCAGCTGGGCATTCCAGAATGGACTGGGAAGAAATGACTCCCTTTTCTGCACTGGGGCAGGTCTGTTGATCAGCCCTCAAGCTAGGCAGCCAGGATGAGTCAGACCCCATGGCGTGTCACCCGAATCCTGGGCACCTGCCAAGTCACCCGTGGTGCCCACCCGCAGTCCATGTCCTCCTCGCTCCCAGTTCTTACCGGGGCTCCCAGTGGCAGCCCAGCTGTAGGAGTGCCCTGGGGTATTTTTTCTGTTTTCTGGCTCAAACTACATGAAGCAGTTGAATTAGAGTCATTATTGTAATTTAATTTCTCCAAACTCAGAGCTATTTTCTTTCCAAATATATCAAGGGCCAGGAAATGTTCAAAGAATTGGAAAAACCATTCCAAATTCAGAAAGGTTAAAGAGGAAGAGGAGTCACAGTGTGAATACTACTACTAATATAATATTTCATAATAATTATAATATATAATATGCATTTAAATATATTCTATAGCATGCCATATGTGTTTTATATATGGCAGAATATAGTAATGATCCCATAAATCTATATTATAGTTCTGATAGCATATTATATATATTATGTTTATACATGAATGTATATAACTTAATTTTCAAAATGTTAAAAAGTATTGCTGATGATTAAGAAATTGGAGACTTTAAAAAAATCAAAGTTTTAAGGAGATGTGAAAATAATGACTATTTTTACAGTCATTATATGCTACTTTAATATACAGTTATATATAATATTCTGTATCATAATTGTGATATAGGATATAAACTCAACTACATATTTAATATTATCGCTGGTATTGAAGATAACACATATTAAGTACTTATCAGGCATTGTGCTAAATACTTTAGGGGCATTATATTATTTTATATTCACAATAACCTCTGTGATGTAGATACTGTGGGAATTTTTCTCTTTCTTTTTAAAAAAATGTACAGTTCTAATGAGGTATAAGTCACGTACCGTATAGTCCACCCATTTAAAGTATAGAGTTCAGTGATTTTCACTGTATTTTTCGAAGTTTGCAGCCACACCACAGGTTTAGAATATTTTCATCACCCTAAAAGGAAACCCCCATCTTCATTAGCCATCACTCCCTACTTTCCTCTCACCAGCCCTAGACAACTCTAATCCGCTTTCTGTCTCTATAGATTTGCCTGTTCTGGACATTTCATGTCAAAGATAGAATCATACCGTATGTGGTCCTTTGTGTCTGGCTTCTTTCACTGACAATAATTCACCTATGTCAGAGCATGTATCAATGCCTCTTTCATTTTTATGGCTGAATAATCATAGTAGTATAGATATACTACATTATGTTTATCCACTCATCATCTGATAGACATTTTGGGGTCATCATGATTAATACTGCTGTCAGTGTTCACATGCAAGTGTTTATGTAGATGTATGCTTTCATTGCTCACTTTATCCCATTTTACAGATGGATAAACTGAGGGACAGATATGGTCATACAGCTAGTTAATACTCAGGGATTGAAACTCAGTTTTGTCTGATTCTCTCAGTTACTCTACTCTTTCATGCTTGAGTTTATCAAAGGTTAATATCTGGAGAGCACCACTCCTTTTTCTCCTCGGCCATTGGCGAGACAATGAAAAGAAAGCAGCAGGAAGAGTTTCTGATGAAGCCCAGGATTAACTTTCTCCCATTAAGGATGGTTAGTTAAGCCTGGAAATGATTGCCAAGGGAGGAGTGAATTTCCCTTTTGGGATGACATGCTCTGTGGGGTCTTTGAGACACAGCAGGGATGCCTTACTCCTGGGGATGGGGTTGGGCTCAAAGCTGTCCAAATGGCAGGCCTCTTTCTGCATCTGGTGTCCAAATGGTGGAGAGAAGCCAGGCTGCAATTCAGGCCTCCCTCACCCTTTCTCAATTCTGACCCCAACACAGCCACCCTGGCCTTCACAGGGCCCTGGGATCTCTTCCCAGATCTTCCTGGGCCCTGACCTTCTCTTCCCTCTGGCTCACAACTGGATGGTTACAGAGGGACCCAACCCAGACCCAGATGAACCAGGGCTGGCCCTTGGGTGGGAAGAAAGGTAATGGAGTTCAGGAAGGGAGGGGAAAAGGGTGGATCAGGAGAGCTGCTTTAGATCACCCAGGGCAGAGCAGAGCAGGGCAAGATATAGTAGAGAAGAGCCCTAAAGCCTCCCCAGGGGTGGTGACACTAATCAGAACATGTAGCTATAAAAGACCTCGGTGCCTGGGTGTCTTATGGAATCAGTGCCATTTCATTTATTTCTACAGAATTTTTTTTAAAAGCAATCCTACCAGAGAACGGAGACTAGCTATATGAACCTGAACACCTAACTTTATTTTTTAAAAGAATTATTTATTTTATTTATTCATTCATTTATTTTAATTTGACCAGAGACACACACACACACACACGGGGAGGGGGGAGGGAGAGAAAATGAGAAAGCAAGCCACTAGGTCTAGCACTTAAACCATGGTCAGCCACACGAGTGTCCAATGCCTTAACTACCACGCCACCTGCTGGTCCCCCAAACACCTTTCTTAACCTCTCAGAACCACAATTGTCTTCATGTATAAAATGCAAATAATAACAATAATACTTGCCTTATACAGTTTTTAGCAGGATAACATGAAGGAGTGCAGCATTTTCCAGTGTATATTCCCAGCAACTATGCTTCTACAAGTTACTATAATGTAGGAGCACAGAAAGCCCACAGGCTGATGATCTGGGGAGCAGTTGCTTAAACAAAGCTAACCCAGTTGCATTCTTCCATTACTTCTTAGAGCATTTTATATAGTGATCTTTATTAAGAATAGCTAAGAAGAACCCTGTTCTGTTGTATTTTGTAAATTTATTTAACCACAGAAATCTTTTGATAAAACATCTAGAGTAGAGGTTGCAAACTGGTGGTCCATAGGCCAAATCTGGCCAACAGATGTAGAGTATTTTGGCCAGCAGAGTATTGCATTAAAAAGTTTTCTACATTTAAATATAGTGATATTTCACACATACATCACAAAGTTTCATATAAAAATGAACTTTTCAGCTTTTTTTGAAAAACTTAAAGATTGGGCCAAACTGGATCCACATTTGCACATGGTGACACTTAGCCAGAGTGGGTGGTCCTTCCTGGCATCCAGTTTGCAACCCCTCAGGGTCTAGTGCTGCTCAAATGCTGAGACAAAAAAAGTAAAATGCTGTTTTACCCACACGACCCTTCATGAAAAAAATTGATGGACACCTGCTTGTTCATGATTATCACGCATTACTGAATGACACAATGTGTATACCATAAAGTATATATACCAAATAATTTTTGGGGGGAGAGGGTTTTTTTTTTTTTTGCTACAGGATGTGTGCACTTGCCAGAAAGACAGAGAGAGACAGAGAGACAGAAAGCAAGAAATCACCCCCTGGGGGGATGACCACACTGTAATCCCTTTTCCTCCATTCTCCTCAGGATCTTGGGCATGCACGCACACATGCCCGGCGTGAGTTTAAGTCACCAAGTCCGGGACTCGAACCACGGTCAAATACATGGGAGTTCAGTGACATAGCCATTACGCCAACTACTGGTCCCTATACCAAATAATTTAACAAGGTTGAACAGAAATCAGACTTTTTGCTCTTCACACTTTACTGTTCGGAGGTCACTGGTTCAGATCCTTAGGCAAAGCCAGCACCATATTGGAGCTCTTTAGGTGATTATTATTTTATTTATTTACTTATTTATTTACTTTTGTTAGGTTTTTGCCATAGGGCATGTGCACTCACTGGAGGGAGACAAAGAAAGAGGATGTGAGAAAATATACTCCAGGGGGGATGGCCACACCATGATCCCTTCTCTTCCATTCTCTTCTTGGGCATTCAGGTACACACGCACTCAGCATGATCTTCAAGCCAACAGGTCTGGGCTCAAATCATAGTCTGCCGTGTAGAATTCCAGTACCTGGTTCTCCACGCCACCTGTTGGCCCCTAAATGATCACTTTTGCATGTAGCTAATTATTGACCAAAGACACCTAAAGTTGTCCAGCTCCCTCATGAAAGAAAAGCTGAGCACGCAGCCACCATCCCTGTAGCCCACACTGTACAAGTTTCATGTAGCTATACCCCCCCATACAGAGAGATTGTGAATTAAGTGCTCTTTTGCTTTTAGCTTGCTCTTGCTTTCTTTTTTTGCTTTCTTTTGACTGTGCCCAGTAGCATAAACAACAGTCTTTGGAACCCAGACTGTGTCTGAAATACTAATTTAGGTAAATGCCAATCTAAACAAAGAGAATTTGATTCACAACATTTTTTTTTA